ATCGCGACAGGCCTATCTGCAGGTAGATTCATTTACCTAAACTAAGAGCTTTGACAGCTTTCTTTACCAGTTTATTAATGGTACAGATCCAATGACTGATAATGTCTGGTTCACATGGCGATTTTCTGTTGAGTTTCAAAGCATAAGAGACCTCACACAATTAAAAAAAATAATAATAATCTAAATGTTTCCCCAGTGTATTATAAGCCTGGTGGATCACCAGACTTTACTTGCACTCCCACCAGTCTAAGCTTTGTGTATTTATTGAATGGGTGTTTCATACACCAACAACGGGGTCTGCAATAAATCAGTAAATTAAAAAGAGTTCAATCATTTTATATGCATAATTTATCAGGGTTTTTTTTTTTGTCTTTTCTCACTCTCTTTCTGTCAAAAATAGATGATAAAAGTCTGCTGCTTTGACCTCAAATAACCCTTTAAAAAAAAGACAATTTTGTTTACAGCGACTCTATAATTCCCTTTATTTGTTATTTTGTTTCTTTTGAATATCTAAAATTATTGGTCTTTACTGGTCAACATGTTAACAGCTTTAGCAAATAAAGTGAGAAGTCACTGATAAAAGAAAAAAATCACTTTAATCATGATGAACATCTGAAATACAAAAACATATATTTATTTTAATTTCCTAGTTATATTTTAAAATTTTATGTCAATTTTGAACATTTTTTAACTGAAAAACACAATAGGCCTCTGGTTGACTACCCTACAGATTTAGAAAGTTTTGTGGGGGAAACCCTGTCCAGGTATCATAAGTTTGGTTCTACACACAAACAGATTTCACTCATGAACATTCAGATGTCAGATATCTGGCAAAACCTCTGGCGCTCAAATGGGACCTCCGAGTATAAAACATGGCTGACAAAGAAGAAGCAAGAAGCAATAACAATTGCTTCCACTATTTAGTGGTTGTTGTGTCTTCTGTATTTTGGATTCCCCTCCATGTTTCTGTCTGCTTCTAGAAAACCCCAAACGGTGGGATATCAGGCCAAGAGATTCCAACATGTTGAATATCCCCAGTTGAGGTCGGAGCGTTCCCAACGTCCTTCCAAGCATAACAGATTATTTGGAAGCACCACACACGGTAGGAATACCTCCTAAGATTATCTTTAGAGCCATCATGATAGTCAGACTGTCCTTATGATTGCTAGAAGGGGAAGACTGGGTCACAATATTCTTGCTTTGTAAACCAGGCTTAATTTAGCTACATTTCTGTAAGCAACTGTCAACATAATTTGTCCAAAAAACATAAATTACATACAACACAACATAATATAAAGGTTCACCAAATAATCTTTTGATATGTGAAAATATTTCCATCCTGTCAAGTCTCTCCCATTTGGTCACATAAGCAAAAACTTCAATGTAAATTTTAGCAATTTTATGTGACAGTTGAATCAGAAGTAGTACATTTTTGTGATGTAGAAGGAAATAAATGTCTGAAACATATACTTCAGTGATCAAGAATAAAAAATGTTTCATGTAGTCTCAAAGCTAACAACAAAGACATGCAAAAAAACTGTCAGGTATAATTTACTGTCCTTTCTGTCATCTATTACACTGTTTAGCATTTCTCTTTTCAGCATTTTATGATATTTCACCACATAAAAAGACTCAGTTCCCTTATAAGTCAGCAGAATGAAAACGCGTGAGTCCAAAAGTCACATGGACGTGCAAGCAGGTTTTCTAATGTTTCCCTCAATTAGAAAAGAAAGAACTTTGTTGGTGTGGCTGGTGTTGTGACCAGCAGGTCATTTCCAAACAAAGCAGCCCTAAATGCATCCATGTTTGTTGTAGTCATGTAACAGAAGGCTGCAGGGCTTTTCTCTGTAACAAAAACTACCGTAGTGTGTGAGACTGATGCATTACTCAGGTTCATAAAAGCATACATTCCTGCTAAGTTCCACTGCAACATAAGAAAAATTGCATTTTATATTTAACAATTTCTGCTTTCATCTTCCACCCACATTAGTACAATATAGAATTAGCACTTCTATATAAAAGTCAAGATGTGATTTCTTCCTACATTCTCAGAAATATTTAGTTGAAAACTAGCTTTACTTGCAATTGGGGGATCCTCTACAGTTGCTTAGTGCTCATTTAGGGAGCTGTCTGATCTCATTTCCTGTCCAAGAAAAAGACAAATCCATCTTCCGGCGCTTCAGTTTCTATTGAGTTTTCTCATTATCAAGCAGTGCTGAGTCTTAAGAGACCATATCCTGCTCGCCTGTCATGCAGTTTTATCAGGCTGCCCAGAGGGACCATTAACATTGTTTTACCAGACAGAGAGGCATGTTTTCTGGTAGGATAGATGATTCTTAGGTCATTTGTAATCATTACACACTGATTAACATGCAGACATAATGCTAGAACATCAAAAAATGATGATTGGGACATGATATCTCAGGGCAATGTGGATGTTTTAACACAAAATAGGCATCAAATCTGACTAATGCTGATTCTTAAATAGGAGGTGCTGGCTTATTTAACTCATAACAAATGATAATTTAAGTTTTGAGCCTGTGGTTATGCTACTGTCCAGGTTTTGTTCAGAGACTGGTCGGCTATAAGATTGTGCTTTAAATTGATCAATCAATCTACATCCCAGCTTTTGAAGACCTGATTGTTTGATGTTTTACACCTGATAGTCCAGGAAACTCACTTAGTTAGAAACCAAAGTTGCATTATTTGCTACAGCGCTGTGTGAAAGCGGGTTTGCTTTGTCGATCTGAAAAGCAATTTGCGGTGGCGCTGCACAAAGAACCACTGAAGGAAACGACATAAAAACCTCTGAAGAAGACATTAGCGCAACTTTCTACTTTGCAAAACACAAATGGAATAGCTCAGACTTTAGTAGCATCCATTCCTCCTGCTAGTGCTAAATTAGCATGTTTGTTTTGGTGGTTTTACCCATAACGCCCTCCGTTATAGTACGGTCCTGTCCAATGTTTTCATGTGGTCCACAGTTCCCTTTTCAGAGATCGAGTCATTCACACCTCGACAAATGAACCAGACTTTCCAGACAAACGAAGTAGAGTTTGATTAAAGCAGACTAAACAAGGCTGGTATGAAAGAACCCGAAAATAAAATCTTTTGGCAAAGTTAGACTTTTCAGATTGACAAATTAAACTTAAATACAAGGTCCAATTTACTGTTCACCTATGGTTGACAAAGATAAAAACACAAGCCTTAAGACTCAAACTGACCAGAATTTATTTGTAGTCACCCTGACATTCCAAGTTTCTGACCTTAGTTGGAGGTGCCTCAGTCTCTAATCAAAGGGTGAAGTATATTTTCATACACAAAGTGACTTTAGGAAAACTGCCATCATATATCTTCTTCAAGTTAACTACAGTGAACCTCAGAGCAAGCATCTGGCTACACCATAAGGTAACATTGATGTGCACTGAGTCAGGAAAGATGAGTTTGTCCCATAGTTTGAATGATGTGCAGTTGTCTCTTTAACTAGTTTAAAACCAAAAACTGTCAGAGGTTTTTATTGCTTGACACATTGTTGTAACTGTAACAAACGTAATTTATCAGTATTGTTGTGTTAGTATTACTTTCTTGGATCTTGTACTCCTTTTATCTTAGCCAGGATGTCCTTGTTAAAGAGATTAACAATCTCAGTGGGTATATGTCCAGGAGAAATATCCATAGGAGTCCAGCAGCAGTCCTCCAGGGTCTGGATCTCCTTGTTTTTGATGTGTCTCTGCTCCAGAACCACTGCTTTAAATAGTCTAACAACATCCTCAGCATGTCATAAAGTTCTGCAGAAACTAACAAAAGACAAACTATCATTTGATCCAGATGTGTTGAAGCAGAGAAAGAACTGAAACATGTAGCATACCAGCCCTGGAAGACTTGACTCTGGTCTAATCGAACGCTGTTTTTTCCCCCTCAAAGCGAGGAGAAAATGTCAATGTTCATGTCAAAAACTTGTATGCTTTTCAAGATTCAAACATTGGGTCTTGTTATGAATTTATTGCAGATGATAGAAAATATGCCAAATCAAAAAAAAAAAGTTTGAGAAAATGGATGGAAACTTCATTTAGAGGTTAAGAAAAAGGAATAGACTCTGGAAATTCAAGTTCAAATAATATAAAATACTTTGATGTAACAGGGAACCAGTAAGTACCACATACTTCTCACATTTTCCTCTTCATATTCAAGTGCAAAATACAACACAGCTTTGAGATTCTTCTAGAAATCTATAGACATGTGAATGATTTGAGGCTTGAGGCACTGGTTGCAAAAGTCCAAGAAATGGAAAAGTTTATCCTTCAGGCTAATTCCTCATTAGCTCCAAATGACTCCATCGCACACAGAGAAAGCTGTGTTTGTACCAAGGTGACAATTTATCTACATCTCTTCTCAGAAAACTGCACAGACTTGTTGGTTGCTCTCTGCACGCCTTCCTCCCCACAATGTCAGTCTGCTCTCGCTGCTGCTGCAGCCTGGAGAGGGACGACAACCACCCACAAGACAAGGTACAAATATATGCACCAACTTCTGATTTAAACCAAACCCCAAGGCAGCTCTTCCTCCACATGTTAGCCTGAACTTTGGACATTGGGGGAGAAAGAGGTTAGCTTAATGGAGGAGCATGAGCTTTCAAGAACATTCCATCTTAATAGGAACCAAGAACTGGTGCTTGGTCAGGATCGGCATTTAAACACAACCAGAACCACAGGAGGCTCCACTCAGACCGGGCTAACGGTGGCCAGCCCGGTTAGCGTTACAGCCGTCTGAACGGCACACTTTTTCTCTTATTAACCCCCCCACTACCACCTCATCCCCGGTGTGCAACTGCAGGGCCCGGCGCCGCCATACACCACCACACAGGCGTATAAAACAACACGTACAGCATGCTCGGGAGCGGACGGAGACGGGGAGCGAACCGGTACCGTGAAACCGAAGAGCGAGTCACAGAGGACGGGGACACGTTGACCAGGGGGAGGGGGAGAAGTGGGCGAACTAACCTGTTTGAGAGCCGCACAGTCCGCTGGATGTTTGGGTTGAATCCGAGTTAAATCCACTATCAGTGTAACAAAGAGACGAAAATCACCGAGTGGTGGCGGAACAGGCCGAAAAGCTGGGGAGAAAAGTTGAGCATGCGCAGACTGTGCGACGGGAGGGCGAGCGTGTTCAAGTGTTTTGGAATTTTTTTAATTGATCAGCTAAATGAAGGATTAATTATTAAATTAGCATATTTTTCCGACATAAACAACTTAACAAGACTTCATATTTTATAGTTTTCAAGTTATTTTGAATTTTTTGACAAAATTATTTCTGTGGATTTAAATTTTGTATTTGACCCGCATACAAAAAAAAAAAAAAAAACATACATTTTTTGTTGTATGTATTTATTTACAGAACATTTGTTTTGCATAATTGAATGCAGTCACCTTACTCACTAGAAATTTAATTGTGGGCTAATGGGGGAATGCTCATCTTAATTTTACCAGTTGACATCTTCATTATTTATTTAATACAGTTTCAGTTTTGTTAAATTTTATTTTTGTTTGTTTTTCCATTTACACAAATGCATTGCTGTATAGATTTAATCAAAATTTTATGTGTCTCTCAATCAGCTTCTTACCAGGAATATATTAGGCAATACGTGATGACAGACTAAATATGGTAATAACATCCTAAAATATTTTATAAACAAGTTATGCTTTAAATACAGAATATTGCTAAACACACACACACACACACACACACACACACACACACACACACACACACACACACACACACATGTCCTTCACAAAGACGTTTCATTGACTTTCATCCATTGTTTATTCATTTAAAGCAACCATTACCACTTTGTACTTAACCCCAAACCTAAACTCAATTCACACTTTATCCCTAAACGTAAACCTCAACCCAGAAAGAACAAGTCGTCTTCACCTTTGTGATAACAAATGGAACCGAATTCTATATAGAACATGTAAAACTTAACAAGACTTAACAAGACTGATTTTGACTGTCAAAGTTCAAACTATTTTATTAAAGAATATATTTAATAAAAAGAAACAAAATAACATCTATAAAAATGTGTCGTTTCTCTCACTACAATTGCATGTCTCAATCCTGAAATGAATTAAATTGTGGAAATTTTCAGATTATCGTTAAACTACAGAGTGACCCTTCGTTCTTTTAGACGATCTTTGTGCAGTACAATGACGTTCCCTGATTGTTGAAGCGATATTATGTTTTCCTTCTTTTCCAGCTGTCAAACCGGCGTCTCGTTGTGAGTTAAAATGTCTTTAAAGTTTATCAGAAAACCGCAGAACTGATCTTTACTTTCTTGCTCTTCGGACATTTACGGACATGTTGACAAAGATCAACAGGTTAAACTTTGGGATATGTCCCAAACATCGCGTTCGTAGCTAGCTAGCATAAAAAAACTAATCAATAATAAGGTAATATAACTCTGTAAGTCGTCATGGACGAGACGACCAGCGACATTCGGACCGTTTACGGGGCTGTTTCTGGGAATCCAGAACCGACCAGGCTGCTGAGTTTTAAAGTTTACAAGAGGAGGTGGTTTGTGCTGCTGGTGCTGTGTCTGCTGAACTGCTCCAACGCCACGGTGAGTCATTTCATCCACGGTTTTATGACTTTCTATGGAGGAAAACTTTGTCAAATTCAGGCTTGTATGGAACCATAGTTGTGTCAATAATACTTATTGTAGTAGTTGTGATAATGCTGAATATTACTGAGAATTACTTAAGGTTGAGGGGTTTATATGTTGAACAAAAAAAAATAGTTACTGTGTAATAATATTTTTATGCAACATTTTAAATCCAGATCCAATCACAATGCTGCTTCATTGATTAAGACTTTGATCAAGTTTTAGAGGCATACATTAAAATGATCAAATTTTCTTTGTCATTTTCTTTGTCACTCTTTACCCATCAAAGAGTGTAAGAGATTCAATAGTGCAGTCCATTTGTAGTTCCAGTCAGGAAAATTAAATAGAACGTTCTTCTTAACATCGTTTTAAGCTTTACTTTTCATAATAATACACCACTTTTAATTTGTTTAGTTTAGAGCTACATGTAACGTAAACTTTAAGTGCACTTTTACAACAATGTCTTGTAAAATACATGTTTCCAACACAGCGTACTGTTGTTGAGGGGCAGCCATTTTGACAGTCGGTCTTGTAAGTCGTAACTGGGTGAGTCATTTCTCCCACTTTCCCAGTAGAAAATCTGACTTCTCGGGACATTCCTGTTGATTTTTCTGACTGGGAAATGAAAATTTCTCAGTTCTGATTACAATTGGAAAACACACCATTTCAGCTTGTTAAGGTTCTTTAAACATTTTTTCACTACAATCTATCATTTACAATTCAGTATTGCCTCAATGGACAGTGATTTAAAAAACAAAGTGGATATATAAAGCTGTGATGTTAAATACCAGATGGTCGAAAACTTGGGTGGATAAAGGTAGCCAAGGCTACAGTGTGCATTGAAACAGTGTCTTCAGTCAGAGGCTTTTTCAAATTTGCTGTAATACAAACTGCTACAGGACACCCTTCTTGCCCATAGCTGACTCCATCTAAAATAACTCTGGAAAATCTGAATTAATTTTAATGAATTTTTTTTACTGTTAAACTTTGCCATTATTTTCTACCGATACAGACATCGTAGAGGCAAATTCATTGACTTACTGTGACATGTGGTTCCTTCTAGTGTTTGCATAACTTGATATCACTCCCAGGGGACATTGTCTTTGTGAAGCTGAGTGTGCCTGGAGGCAAGTGTGCCGCTCTCAGTCACACAATCTGAGCCCCTCCCTCACATATCTGAAGCCCCGGCGGGATTTGTGCTTGCGTTGGGAGTTATTGTTTCCAGGGAGCTGGTGTTTTCGCTCACAAAAGAAGCTCAGCTGGAGGAGAGGCATTCATGATGTGGCAAATAACAGCTGAAGAGCCAGTTAGACATTAATCAGTGTGACATTAAGAGTCCCATAGGGGTCAGGATTTATAAAAACCTGCAGGCCCACAGGTAGGGTCACTCATAGGAAGTGTATTATTGCCCATGATGAATGCCATTGAAAAGAATGCTTGATTAAGGATCAATCTGGATATTATTGTGTTTTATGGTTGTATTTGTAAGATTTCAATAGGATTGTAACAAAACATGAAAAATGAGCTGCAAGATGATTCCTAAAACACTGAGGAAACAAAGCAAAGTGTCAAAAAGTAAAAACCCCTCAGAAACCTTTCACCCTGCTGTGAACAATGGTGACATTGTTTGTCCAAATCTGCTTACAAACGAGTTCATTGTACCCAGAATAGACAAGTGCGGGTTCTTCTTTTGTTGTCTCAGTGTTAAGCAGGTGAACCCCACAGTACCTTGCAAAAGTTTTCCCATAATTATAAAGTTTTATGTATTTTATTGAGTTTTTATGCAACAGACCAACACCAGGGGAAGAAAAACAATGAAAATGCTTCTCAAATTTAACCCTGATAAAATGCATTTGGGGCTGAAACAATCAACTAATTTAGTAATCAATTAGTCATTTAGATTATATAGACTCAAAAAACGGCATTTTCTGAAACAACAACATAAATAAAGGAGTTTCTAAGTTCAAACTGTACAAAAAATATCTACATTTTGCATTTAAGATGGAAAAAAAATCCACATTTTTGTAAAAAGGTTTAAACCAGAACTCCTCAAATTACATAGTTTTAGTTTCACCTGATTTCTTATGTAAAAAAAGACAAACGTTATAAAAAACACTCAGATCAGCCCCACACTGTACTGATGTCAAGTAAAGTAGAAAGGTCTCACCTTTTCACATGCTGATGTATTTTTTTTTCTTTGCTACAAATGATCGAGTGTTCATTAAAGAAATGCTGTGTTATTACCAGTTAGGAAATTAAATGTTTTTTTTATTTAAAAAATGAATTATTTGTTTATTTGCACTTCTATATATTTTTAATATTTCATTAAATAATCTTAAGTGTTAAAGTATCTGCTTAATTATAAGAATTGATAGAATGATTTATTACTAAAATAATAATTAAGCTGCTCTCCTAAATTACTCCAAAAAAAAATAACATCACATGTATTTTATCAGTCAAGTATTCTCATCAAAATATCTAATAAAATGCTTTATTTCCTCTTAGATATGGCTTACCTTTGCACCAGTTGCAGACCAGTCAGGCCAGTACCTAAAGGTCAGTCTGGAGGACATTAACTGGTTGTCACTGGTTTTCATGGTGGTTGCCATACCGCTCAGTTTCGGGACCACCTGGATGTTGGATACCCTCGGTTTACGGATCACGGTAGGAGTGTAGAGAACATTTCTGAAAAATTAAGAAGAAGCTAAGACGAGCTTTTTAATCTGCTGCGGCCCTTTGACCTTTGACATCTCTACAGCTCATCCTGGGATCCTGGCTGAACATGCTTGGAGCTCTGCTGCGTTTCCTCGGCACACTGCCGCCGGCTCGATTTGAGCTCCAGTTTCCAGCAGTGATGCTGGGTCAGACGCTCGGCGCCCTCGCCCAGCCCCTCATCGTCTTCACCCCCACCAAACTGGCCGCCCTCTGGTTCCCCGACAGCCAGCGAGCTACAGCCAACATGATCGCCTCCATGTGTAAGGAACTCCTATATGTAAAGCTTATGATCATTTACTTTGGAATTTACTGTGTACGGCTCCAAGAGAGCAAAACAAACAGCATAAGACATGGGTAGACTGTGCCTGAGGCAGCATCATAAAGTCTAAGGAACACACCAGACAGCTCAGGGGAAAAGTTATGGAGAATTTTAAACCAGGATTCGGCTTTGAACATCTCTGTTTAATATGTGAATAATTTTGCAAGCCATTGAAAAAAATAAAAACTAAATATTGAGCTTGTTGAATTCTCTAGCTGTAAAATATGTCAGAATAATTGGCAGCATAATTGCTTATTTGAGCAATTGTTGTCTTCAGCTGTAGATCTGACTCACTAAAAGTTAAAGAGCAGCGATCTGTCCGTACTGGAAACTGGACAATAGGTAAATTATGTAAATGTTGATGCTTTTATTAGATTTTGGTCCATTTATA